CTTGAAATCCATTATTGGGCAGCTTAAACACACGGTATTAGTGCAGCAGATATATATCAATTCAATATATATGTATATATATATGTATATATATATATATATATATATATATATATGTAGCTCATATATATAATATTTGTATGTTCGTACTGTGGTCGCTTCAGCTGTTTTCATACAAGCTGGCACTACTACCCCTGCAAGCAATCCTGCTGAGGAAAAACTGAAGAAGTTAATAGAAGTCGGTGAAGTCGACGAGTGTTATGGAAAGCAGTACTGCTGGAAATATGATATGTATGAACTTTCAAGAAGCAGCATAAACCGTATAAAGTTGTCCTCCGACTGTGTTTACATCTGCAATATCTATTTCTATGAGGGCAAGTAACCCTATGAAAAGCGTGTATTTGTCTGGTTATATGCGTTCGCTTCGACCTGTTTATTTCCGCATCTCTATAAACTGTTAATACATCATTTTGTGTCTATTATTGTATTCACTGTGTCTCTCTGGCTGAGCATCTCTTCTGTGGCTGTGGCGTGCTTGTTTTCGACTGAAAAACAAGGAAAGCTGGTTGAGTTGTGCTGGATATTCAAATAAACATATCAATATACAAAGAATTATATTAATTTTTGGGGGTACTAACTCTACACTAACGGCGAATCGCCAATGGCTATGCAGTTGTTCATATTCTTAATTTTCGTTTTCGTTGCCTTTCTGTTGTATGGCTTCTGCGGCTCTGTAAACATTAGGTGATTTCAGATATCAATTCAAATCTTTTGATTTGAATTTCTTGTTTCATTACCTAGTGCACCTTTCTGCACCAACATAGAGTTCGTCTGCCTAGCAGAGATGTACACGGATAAATAATGATATTCACGGACAAACAAGAGTCGGATCATAATAACAAGTCGGACGGAAAACCGCAACCACCATGCGAGGTGGAAAGGCCTCAGAATGTAAAGTTTACACTCTGATATTTCTTCATAGATTCGCTGCTTTTCACCTCAATGCTCTATCGAGCATGTTGCTCGGAGCAGCAACTACAGTTCGGCTAATCACGCAGCAAGTGAACCTTCGCATACTGAGGCAAACAACGGCGATTTCGACAGCTATTCGCTGTGCGTAGGGGCGGACGGATAAGCGGAATAACTAGGTAGCTAGCTAGCTAGCTAGCTACCTAGGCGGCGGAAATCTGCCTGTCTAGGCAGAGATAGCTGCGAGGATGGCGACCAAACCGGCAGTTAGAATGCTGGGAACGGCAGCATTTGCAGAGCTTTTTAGATCGTCTTCCGTCATACTTTTTAATTCAGTTTTTCGTGTACTAATCTCCTTGAAGTACTCCTCGCTGCAAAGAAGGCGAAACAGAGAGAAACAAAGAATACATCTCCAGTTGTTATTGTTGTTCACGTCTAAATCCTTTCATAAGGCCCATCTAAACATCCAACTGCAAAAAACCGTGCTTACCTAAAGGCGGCATCGCTCGCCGTTGCTGCAGGTTCTAATTGACAGAAAAGCACAGACTTTATTGGTGTATCTGTTGCAGATGTTTTTACGCAGTTTCCAATTACACAGCCGACTTTAGTGCTGTTGGCTCCGAGAAGGTGCAACACGCTGTGAACCTCGTCGTTCTCCCATATCTTTTCCCACCCCGATGGCTCTTCCGGATATGTGCTGTGAAGTAGAAACAATCAGCGCAACACAACATAAATGCAGTGATTTGACTATGGATGACGAGAAAGTGGCGTCGGTAGCGGGGTAGATGAGCTATGCATCATCGCTATTGCTTTGGTTTCTTAAGACTGCAGGTAGAAGCTGCCTGTCGCGAAGATGAATATCGCATCCTTACCCGAATTCTTCTAGTCCGGTATTCAGAGCTTCTTGCACCAGTGCGCGATAGTCTGGTTTTTCTGTGTATTTGAAACTGTAATAAAATACGGTCTTCTGTATACGCAAAACAGGAACAAAACGACAAAACAGCCCTCTTATGTTCAGTCTGTCTCTGATAATCATAGGAATAAATGCATAGTTTCTGTCAAGCCTCACAACGGTGCTTGGAGCTCAGACCTGCAGCTGATTATGACAGAGCACTACCCGTAGTAACATCATGGAAGGAGGAATTTTATAGTGTAATGCGCTCACAAGGTCCCCTGTTAATAAAGCTTCGCACGACTCTTTTGGTGAATCTTCGTTGGCTTTTACTTTTTTCTCCAAGGCGCTGACGGTAGTAGCGTCCTTTTCGACTGAACTGGTCTTAGCTGAAATTTGTCCATTACGGGCCAACTTGACTGTCAAGTAGGCGTCTGCAAAGAACAAAGGCGGAGAGGAAAATCAATGTGCAGTGAAGCCACCTCCGTGTGACCCAGCGAGTAGCTGACGGCTTCACAGCAAACAAGACGGGAGAAAGCACAAGGAGTGAGAATTACAAGCGGTAGTATGTTTACCTTCGTCTACTTGTACTGCCTGATATTTATATTGTTCTGAGGCGTTAGCCCCGGACTGGAGCCAACTCAGCCCGACGAGGCAGAATGCTGCTGCGGCCTTGTAAAGGGGAGCCATTGCGACGGAATTCAGAAGAGAATATTTTTTTAAAAAATGTTTTCTCAGCAAGAGAAATGTAAAGATTCAAATTGAGGAGAGGGGAAAAGACGGCAAG